CCCAGTTCTAATCATGAGCCTTATTGTTTTTTATTGCTTTGTTCTTTTATTTTCCTTTCTGCTCATATCCACAGTAAACGCTTTATTGCACACACACACACACACACACACACACACACACACACACACACACGATCTTTAAATTAGTGTGAAGTTGGCCTTTGATGCTGCAAACACGTTTGAAACCAACTGGGCCAAATCCCAGGTTATATTTAAAAAACAGAATTAAGATTCCGTTTCTCAAAAAGAAAAACCACAGTCTCAAGGTCTTGTTTGTTCCCAGGGAGCCTGCTCACCAAGGGGACTTACTCTTTCTTACCAATTTCCATTCTTAATCCTCAATAACCCTCCTCCTGTCTGTCAGCTCATTCATTCTCTCTGGGATCCACTAAAAACATGTTTTTATGAATGACTAACTGGGGTAAGACACTGACTACTGAGTAAGATAGGTGCATTTGAAAAGGTCCTGAGGCAGTGACTGAGCAAAGTGACTCTTTGGACACAATAGGTGTGAACTGTTAGTTCACTCCAGATACCTGTTTCTGTGCCCAGTCAGCAGTGATGGGAAGTAGGAGCCCAGAGCTAACACACAGATGCTACTTCATCCAACCATCCAGACCAGAACCTGCAAAAAACCTGGAGGAAAACAGTGGCCTTTTCCACAGAGCATGGGATCAGAGTGTGAGGCTATTTTGTGTACATCGTTAAGCAAAGAAAGACTCGACCACTCCAGGTTTGCCATTGAATCAGATGTCGTTCAGAAATGAGAACCCTAAAACCTGGAGAATCCTCAGACACAGGGAGAGCAACTGCCAAATGTCCAATGCAAGCAGGCATGGCACATGCACCTCTGGTCATAGCGACCCAAAGGCTGGACTAGAGGGTCCCTGGAGGGAAGGGCCAGTGAGGTGGCTCAGAAGGTTGCTTCAGATGCCTGGTAACCTGAGTTGGACCCTCAGAACCAACACCACAAAGTCATTCTTTGTTTGCCACACTCATGCCAATTAATTAGGGGTGGCAACAAAGAGATCTAATTTCTGGGCAAAGAGAAGATGCAAAAGGTGTGGGATGGGGACAGAACTGTTTTGCTCCCTGCCTTATCAGTCTTCACAAATTTCCCAGTCTTACAATTTTTTTCCCCTGGGATGTCTGCCCTGTGATAGGTCTCTATTTCTTAGTTCAGGAAGCAGAGGTGTGCCCTGAGAGGTGAGACAAATCAATTTCAAATAGATGTTTTTCTATGTTAAAAATGGGTAGCTTTGAATTTAATAACACATTCTAAGTCCATTTAGTGCTGTTGCTATGCACACGTCATTCACGTGTGGGTCATTCACTGGGGCATAGATACCAATGTCCCCATCCTAGGACTAGTGGCTCTCTCAGCAGCTAGGGGTAGGGATGAGCTCCTCCCTGCTCCTTACTGAAATGTTTAACTGATGTGGGATGTCCTTCTGTATATGTGTTGCTTTTATTGGTTGATGAATAAAGCTGTTTCAGCCAATGACTTAGCAGAGTAAAACCAGGCAGGAGATCCAAACAGAGATATAGAGAGAGAGAGTAGGAGGAGTCAAGGAGATGCCAACTGGATGCTGAGGAAAGAAGACATGTAGAAAATGAGGTAACACTATAGCCACATGACAATAGATAGGCTAACAGAAGAGGGTTAATTTAAGATGTAAGAGCTAGCTAGAAATATGCCTGAGCCATCGGCCAAGCAGTGTTGTGATTAATATAGTTTCTGTGTGATTGTTTGGGTCTGGGCAACCGGGAAACGAAAGCACAATCTCTGTTTACATTTAATTCTCTTGATCTTGTGGTGGTCTTGTGCAGATATGCACAGTCTCTGTGAATTCACGTGTGTAACAGTCATGTCACGTCCAGAAGCCAGCCTTTCACAGTTCTTCTCCCCATTCTCTGGCTCTTACACTCCTCCCAACCCTCCTCTCTCTGGTGATGCTCGCTGAGCCTTGGGGATTATGGTGGTCGATACAGCTGTCCCTTGTATGCATAGTCAAAGTTGAGAGGAAGATGGGAGGTATTTTAGAGGGGGCTGAGGGCTTGGAGAGAAGGAGTGGGGTGGATACGACCAAGACACATTGTATACATGTTTGCAATTTTCAGAAAACAAATTAAAGAAGTATACTTATAAATGATTAAGGTAGTTAAAAAATGGATGGCGACTGTTTGCTTTACCCTTACTTTTAGTGGTGAGTGAAGTACTGGCAAGTTCATGTTCTGGTGGCTGCTGCGGTTTGCCTACCCTCTTTAAATCTGTTCTTCCCCAGCACGCATGCTCTTCACATACATCCCCTCACTACCATGAAACCCAACCAGTTATCATGCAAGAGTTTTTCCTTTTTCTTATGGTTTCAATGTTATCACCTCCCTTTTGAGGAGCTAGGAGTTTCCACACAGTTTCAAAGCGGGTCAGAAGCGAAATAACACCTGCCTTTGGTTTTGATGGGTTTCTCAACTTTACTTGCTTGCTTTCAAAGGGAAGAGCCAGAAAGTCTGGGGACAGGGAAGGTGTCTCAGTTAAGCTGTCACTGAATATTTGTCTCCAGGGCATTTCTCTCTTAGGTCACAAAAGCTACTGTGGCAGGCAGGGCTAACCTCAGCCGTAAGGACATCTGAGGTGTGGTTTAAGATAAGAGGAGAATGTAAGGGAGGTGGGCTGTGAGCGAGAAAGGATGAAACTGAAGCAATTTCATCCACCAAAGCTATTAGAGTCACAAAGAAAACCAAAAACAAAAAAACAGAGCCGGCTGCTCATTGCCTTGGGAGTTTGAGAGCGGGAGTTAGGAGAAGGAGCCTCCTATCACACATCAGTAACATTCAACCTGCACTGCTGGGTGTGAATCTGGGCTCTTTCATTAGGACCTGTGTTGATCTTGAGTCAATTACTCGAACTTCTCTGTACTTTAGGGACCTTGTCTTAAAATGGGGAATAATGAATGACAAGAGCTAATGCAGCAAGTTCTTGGGATTTTTAAATGAATTGCTCTTCATAAAGTGCTCAGAAGAGTCAGCACACATAGTTTATAAAGTGCACACACAGACACACGCAGACACGTACACACATTTATACATACACACAGAGAGACACATACACACACAGACACATACACACAGATACATACACACAGATACATATA